TCCCCTGGGCTGGGAACTTAATTGGTAACCCTTGGGGAATCGTAAACCAAACCGGGGATTGGGACCGAAAAGGGCGGGGGTGGGGTTGGGTGGGGTTGTGGGTGTGGATGGAGGTGTGGGTGTGGATGGGGGTGTGGGTGTGGGTGTTTTTGAAAAAAAATTTTTTAATGCAGAAATAAACTTTTTGGGAAAAAATAAATTTTTTCGAAAACATCTGAAATTTTTTCGAAAAACATTTTTTTTCCAAAAACGCCTGTTTCTACATTAAAAAAAATGGAGGACCCTAGGGTTGGGGGCTGCGGACGGGAGACGGTTACCAAACCGTTACCAGTTACCTGGGAACTTGGCCAGGTCTCAAATTAGAGGACTAATGGACATTGAAAAACTTAATTGTATTTCGGACAATGAGATTTAGAAAATTTTTTGATTGAGAAGAACGTTTCGCGGTACACACGTAAATCACTGTCTTCTACAAAAAATAAAAAATAGCCGCTTCTGACATTTATCTTCGTAGTTAGTCTCTAAAACCGTATAACGTGCTCATCGACTCACTTTTAAGAAATTGTGGACCCCTCTCGGTTGTATTGTTTGATCATTTAATTGTTTAAATAGAAAAGATTAACATGCAAACATAAAGCAGCGTTCGATGGCTTGCATTAGCTATTCATCAATGTGACGATCTTTCGGCAATTTTGAAGTAGTCACCCACTTGCAAAAAAGTCAACACAATTCTTTCTTTCGCAGAAGAACGCTGTCTTCGAGTTTCACTCAATCAAAAAGCATAGCTAGAAGACGCAGTAACTCAAATGACGAACAATTAAAGCTAAGCGTTTAGATGAATGGGTGACTGTGGGGTTGGGTGTGGGTGTAGGTGTGGGTGTGTGGGTGTGGTGTGGGTGTGGGTGGGATGTGGGTGTGAGTGTGGGTGCGGGTGTGGCTGTTGGTGGGGTGTCGGGTGGGGTGTGGGTTTCGATGCGAATGATGAGAAGGCTTACACTCACACGGCGATTCAAAATCCATTAGGTGATGTTTTTCGTCCGATGTACTTTCTAGATGTTTCACACCTGCAGTACAGTCCTTTCCTTGAGTAAAGTTCAAAATTTTGTCAGGTTTTCACGACTCTCAGGCACTGCCTTAACCGCTCAAGTTCAGACGGCAGTCATTATTCTTATACACCCCTATAGCCTGAATCGTACCTTCAGCGAATCTTACAGATTGGTGGCTAGTCGTTTGTCGGTGTCCCTCTGTGGCGCCATTAACAGCTAGTCGTTCCCTCATCTAAATACACTTTACCAATAGAAGGTTATTGTCCATATATAAAAAGTCTTTCTTCAGTGTAAAAATCAAAGACGCAATTGTGACAAACTGATTACAGATTTGGATTCCTCGACTCCGATTACCTTTGGCCAAACTTTATAAATTCGCCTATACATGCGGACATGTGACCCTACACCTGACTGCAAACGTACAAATTCATTTTATGTCATATGATCCTTCCATTAGTCGAGAGAACAAATAAAAATGTCTGTGTGAGAAAAAGCATACCATTTGAGTCATAACTTTTGCACAACAGGCGTCGCAACAGTGCAATGAAATCTTAAATTAGAAAAAGCTCTTTTCTTGCTTAGTAACGCACAGATTGAAATGTAACCAGTCACTTCACTGCTCTGCTTTGGAGACCGTCAGAACCATGAGCAAATATAAACATTAACTAATGTACACAAGAAAAACAAGGTAAAAGCTTACATTTTGAAGTAGTGTATTCGTTATAAAAGTCTTCATCATTTCTCTCCAATGTGCTTTATTATTATTATTCTGGATTAAGACAAATCCAAGGTAAGTTTAAAATGCAAGTCCAGAGTAGCCGTTAGTTCGTTTTGGAAGACATTTCTTCCGAATCATCCAGTAAATGACGATTGAGAAGTAGCCTACTCGATTGTTCTCCAGTGTAAATATCAACAGAGTTATACCATAAATTCGGCCTTTCTTGATGTTGATGTGCGTGTCCAGATTCATTGTATTATATAAATCAATTCTCACTTAGTCTTCATGTCTACTCAGATATGTGCACAATTGCGCGTTGTATCCAGAATTAATTTACACTGAAATGACTTGATTGTAGCACACATTATCTTAATCCTTTTCATTTCTCGAGAAAGCTTAAAAGAATTCGTTAAAATCCTATATCTCCAGAACCCCGTCCCAAGTCCTATTAATCTCTGTTCGTGGTATTGCTCATGATTAAACAGAATTCTTTTCATGATTTGTTCAAGTTCCTACTCAGATTGTTTTCTAAATTAGGAATGTAGAACCCTGCCAAGATTCACTTTCGATGCTACCGAAGATTTTGATAGGAATAGCAGAGAGAATTTTTCCAAGACTTTATCAGGTTTTTCTCAAGCGCTGGTGTACCTTTTCGTATTGGGATTCTGTTCGGATTTATAGTTACGTCAGACGAGGATTTTATCAAGAAAATAACTGGATCAAGTAAAACTCTAAGCTGAGAAAAATCTGTGAAGATTTGATCAGGATACTGTTTCAATTCTTATGCGTATTGTTATGAGAATATTTTTACAACTTTCTCAGAATTCTGCCTACAGGTATTCAAGTATAAGGGTTTCGATTTCTGACAGGATAATGACAGTCCTGAGTAGAAGCTTGATAGGAAAACATTAGGGTTAGGTTAGGCCCTTTACAGGTACTGTTTACACTACTGAATTCTGATTGTTTCTTGAGGGTGTGGGTGTGGGTGTCAATGTGGACGAAGAGAACATTCATACCCACACCCACACCCACAGCAGAGATGGAAACGGGGCGGGAAATCGGAGCGAGGCCCTGGGGTGGGGGCCATTTTTCTTGGGGCGAGGCGAGGTGGGGAGACGTTAAGACGAAGAAAAATTTTATCTGGGCGAGCCGGGGAGGAATTACAACGGGGAAAATATATTCGGGGCGAGACGGGAAGAAGTTAGAACGGGGGCAAGCGGAGCGGGGAGAAGCTATGATGGGGCGAAGTGGGGCAGGGAAACATTACGACGGGGGGGAGGCGAGACATGGTTAAGTTAAAATCCCTGAACTTACCTCGTGATAGCTCCACAGCATAAATATTGATATATAGACTATGTATTTGAATAATGTATGCATAAAGACTTATGAAAATAGTCTCTGTGCAATAGATTATCTACTCAGCACTTTGTACAAATACAAAAGTTTTCCGAGAAATATCATTAGTCTCTATTGAATTATATTTTTATCGTAGGAGGTGAATGGTAATGACTGAAACAGAGAAAGGCAGCGTCTATTGATAGACTGCTTTCGCAAATTAGACTCGACACAAAAGTTTACTTCAGATGCTAAAACAGAATTTTATGTAGAATTTATTTATACATTATTTTGTTCGAATAAACATTTTCTATCTCTGTGTAACATTGAAATTGCTGCGTGCTACGAAAACATCAAATACTCAGCATTTCACCAGAATTAAGAGCCGTTTGTATTTGTTAAATAGCTTTCTATGCGCTATTAAAACATACTAAGAGAAGAAGAGAAGTGTATTTATTTTATAGGCATCAAACTGAACTCTTGCGTAAAACTTTACTACTTAAAAGCGACATATAAAGTATATGTCTATCGAGGGAACGTTCCCAACTGTTAATCGCCGATCGAAGTGATATTTTGCCCACAAGTAGGACTCAGTGAGACTAGGAAAAGTCTAAAAGGATTCATCCACATATGCCTTCCTTCTGGAGTTATGACCATTTTACGGACTTTCCGGCTTATGGGAAGCTATTCATAAAAAATTGAAAAAGAAGGAATTGCCACCTGAAGTGTTGCCCATAAGTAGATCTTATGATCTTTAGGACATCCTGAAAGCTTCAGTCAAAACGGATGGTTCCTTCTCGAGATATTGAATATTGAAAAAAACGATCATATGCCACAAAAAAGGTCATAAAAACGACTTTTCTTTAGTATTCAATAACTCGAGAAGAAACCATCCATTTTGACTGAAACTTTCAGGATACCCTAAAGGTCATAAGACCTACTTATGGGCAAAACTTCAGGTGGCAATTCCTTCTTTTTGACTTTTTTATGAAAAGCTTGCCTTAAGCCGGAAAGTTCGTAAAATGGTCATAACTCCAGAAGGAAGGCCTATGGGGATAAATCCTTTTAGGCTTTTCCTAGTCTCACTGAGTCCTGCTTATGGGCAAAATATTACTTCGATCGGCGGTTAACAGTTGAGAATGTTCCCTCGTATACCTATTAGGCCGAGGATGTATTTAAAATATACTGCAGCTTTTCAATAAGAGACAAAATTAGGATGTTCAACTAGGCAAACCAATTGATGCACTAAAATAATTTGCATGCCTTTCGTGAAGAAAACTAAAACCTAAGATCAATCTAATGTGGCAAAATTTGATTTTGAACCTTCATGATTTTGTAAATGAGCAGTTAGCGTTTTTCTAATTTCCACTGACTATGGTGTTTCGAAAAACTATCTAATGATGATTTAAAAGAGAATGATTCGGTGAAATCGACAGAAAATTCTCTATCCTTTAACGTTGGCACAGAACCACTTAGTTGAGTTTAAATTGACCAAAAACAGTCTGTTGGAAACCTGCAATATCCCTTGTTGCACCCTTAACTAGCGTTCATGTGTTCATCTAAAAGTGAAACGGCTACTGCCAGTAATAAAAGCTCAAAAAGCAAAATGCTATTGTGCTTGCAGTGCATGTCTGTCGAAAGTGACTTCGACTACAACAGTTGATATTGAAAAGGGTTCAACAAAAGAGTTTCTTGAACAGTTAATGGATGAAGAACTGACAAAAAGAAAGTCTACACCAATAACAAAAGATGAAGTCGATATTCATGTTGATTTCAAATTAGGCAAAGACTGTCCAAATTCGTACTCATTCTGAGATGATCACGAAAATATTTTTTCAGATTTCTCTATATTGACATGTCACATGTATATAATGCCACACAACTCAGCTGCTGCCGAAAGAAAGTCTTTGGCAGCAGATGAAATTATCATCCAAAGATCTAATTTACAACCCACAAGTGTTAGTAGCATTTCATTTCACTGTTCAATAGAGAATAACAAAATTAAAGAATGATTGAGGACGAATTATATTCTTGTGGTGCTATTCAGGAAAATAAACTGGACGGGAATCGGCAAGGCTCCGGGGCGGGGACTAAGTTCTTCGGGCGAGGCGGGGAGCAAAAATTCCTCCCCGTTTCGAGCTCTGGTCTGAACTTGCGTTGATGGAATAAAAAATCGGTTGACTTTTTTTCAAATGGGATTGAAATAATCAAAACAGCATTTTTCCGCTGTTGTTGAATACATCATTGATTATATTCTACATTCTATACTTCTTTTAGGAGTGCATTCGTATTATTTCAGAACGACAATTTTTCGGTATTGAATGCAGTTTAACTGAAACATTGTGATTACTAGTAATATAAATTGATTATAGTGGCAACATGTCATCAAACAGTGAGTTTTTCGATGTGTCCAAAGAAGGACAAATTCAATCACGACAAGGTAAAAATACTAATTTTTAAAACCCGTTTTCATCTCGCCAGAGCAGTTCTTCATTCAGTCATGGAATGCAACGAATCGGTTGCACATTCCAGCGAATTTCAACAACATTCATTCGCTAAGAAGAGTTTTAGTAAATATCACTCCAATAATGAACAAAATTATTCAACTAATTTATGCGCTGTGCAACATATGGTGTCACATGTTCCACTTGGTCCAATATCATCATACTATGATGATCACGGTGAGATACTACATATGGGAGTGACTGTGATGATTATGGCTCCTGAAAAATATAAAGAGATTGTCAAAACAAAAATGTTGTTTGAACCATTTCCGATACCTTACAAGTCTACCCGGGACGAACTTCTTAATGAGATATTAAAACAGAGCCGAGTTGAAACAGGTAAATTTGAACAAACAAATATCATATTCTAAAATCAGTTATTGTATTTTAAAAAACCTTTCCTTCACTTTATTTTTGATCTTCCACCGCCAACCGTCTATTTGGTGTTTAAAAATTGTCTGTATGGCAAGGCACTTCCGTTAAGAAAAGACATCAGTTACAATTCTGTTTTATACGTTCTTCTTATACCATCATCCACAGAATCAGACAGATCCATACAAGACGTCAAAAGTAATCTTTGATTAAACAATGATCTTCCTATATATGTTTCGAAATATTTAGATTCATCAGACTTCTGTTATTCGAATAATCTTTCTAAGTCTTCAAGTATTCTAATACGAGTCTATAGAGAGAAGAGCAAATATCGGATCGTTACAATCAAATATTCTGGCAAAATCACTCTAAGTGAACTCGTATGCCAAACTTTTAAGAAACTACAAGAAAGTCACGACTGTTCTTACAAAATCTATTATCATACCGAGGAGATCTCCCAGGAGCAACATACATCGCAAAAGACGTCTATCCTTCCGATTGATAATAGTGTAATGCCTATTATCTTTGATCTTGTGATCATCGCGTACGGACAAAAAACACAACCTCCGAATATACAAATCGTTAATACGAATAGCATAATGAGTACTAATGAAACTGAATCATCGAATATTGCATCATCTTCTCCGAACATGCGAACACATAAAGCTCATAAACATGAAGAGAACGTATGCATCACATATGAACCTAAGAGTCCAACTTTCTATCTGAGCTATGCCTACATGTTGTACACGCGCCTTTGTTTTCACGGAGCCATTCATCGTCCACTGACAAAAGAAGATAACAAAGACAAAAAGAAATCGATATCGGATGACAAGGTAAACTGGAAAGTGCTATATGGATTTTATTCATATTGTGATAAAGATAAATCAGGCCAACTAGATGAAGATGAATGCAGCATTGCCCTATTAACTCTATTTAAATATATTGATGATGGACAAAATTCACTAAATGCTGATATACTTCTTCCAATTGCTTATGAGCAAGGTGATGATCAAAATTCACGAGATGCTAATATACTTCCAATTGTTTATAAACAAGGTGATGATCAAAATAATGAATATTATACAGAGAGAGATTTTCGAACATTAATTATCGATACACTAGCTGAACATATACGTATTCATACATTTGATTATCCGAATGATCCGAAGCCACCGTCGATTCGCAACATGAGCAAAAGAATCGAAAGAATCTCGAATAGAATTGAAAAAATACGAACAGATGATCTCCATCGAAGCAGTAACGAGTCCCCAAATCCATTTTCATTAAAGAGAATTCTTCAATACATCGGACTTTTTGTTTTATATATTTTTGGTCTACCGGTCGTCGTTTTTCGTGCCATATTCAAAAATTACCCAAAAAATAATATTAAAGGAAAAAATATGGTTATTCAACATTTGCTTATCATTCTTCTGTCGATTATTGGTGCATTAGTGGCATGTATTATCTATTTGATTATAGTCAATGTTGCTTTGTTTCATATCTTTCATGACGATAACGTTGATTGGCATGTCAGTTCACTTGAAGCTTATTGGCCGTTTGCATTGATGATTGGTATTGTCTGCATTGTTTATATCTATCGATCTCCTTTTGAAATGAAATCTGACTACAGAAAGAATCAGCAACTGCAAGAAAACTATGATGAAGCTGAATTGGATTTTCTTAAACACAAAGCTGTAGTGAATATGCCTGAGCCTGACAAATACCAGAGTATGACAGTGGCAGAATTAGAACGAATTCAAGGGAACTCAACAGTGGCAACAAATGAATTCAATGAAAATCTTAATAACCAATTGGTGAAAAAAGTTCGCAAGGGATTCATTGATTTTTGCCGAAAACAAGAGAAAAACTCGTGGTGGATGATCTTATTGCAAGTGGTCGGACTCATTGTTGTTCTTGGTATTGCAGTAGCACGTGCATGCGTACCAACAATTTATCGTAAATATAATCGTGAATACACGTATCCGAACACGACAAAACCATTCCAGGTTGAACTTATTAATGACTGCTATTATGTTTTTGGTCTTCCTCTCTATTTCATATACCTGTTAATGATTGTATATGGATATTACTTATACTATGGTTACTACAATAAGCTCAAGCACGTTTTACAACAACCGACTAATAATAATGAATATAATGTTGCACGAAAGAGTGATAATAAATACTATTTGGATTTAAGACGTCAATATAGTCTTGAACTTTTCATCGTCCAGTTACGCCATGTTACCAAACGGAAAGATAAGCTCGAATACCAAGTAAGAATACAATCGATAAGATCAAAACGGATTCGTCTTTTGCAAAGCATAAATGTTAATGTATGTTGAAGTTTGTAGCGAGAACATTGAACTTGCGGTTCTATTATTCACTGATTGTGACACACACGTCAACATGGCAGAGGGAAGCAGCATAGGACTCGTCTCGATGGTCATAGTCGTGACCCATTTTACTTGTATAGAGAGTAATCGTGATCAAAATCTAGTTAAGATGAGTTTCATACCTAAAAAAAATGTTCAGTTTCAGAATATGAATGAATTTTCTCGAAAACTAAAAACGATATTACTTCAACTATATTATGCATCAAGCATTATGTCATCAGCCAAATGTATTGATAAGTGTCGATGAACAATACAGATCTCTTTGCATATAGTTCAATACGAGTGTTGATTGATTAAATTTTCACGGTGATCATTGTAACCTTCCACGAATCAGGATCATGTTTGTGACCAAAAAGTTCTTCGTTACGACGAGTGTTAGAATAAGAGGATTTTTAGATTTTCAGTTTTCTAGTGCACTTGAAATACTAAAGTACAAAGTAATCCATTTCTTTCATCTTTGTAATATATTCTTATGATCTCATCATAGACTGATAGGAGTAATGCGATTCTTTGCTTACAATTAAACGAGCTTCACCATGCTCTGATTTTGTTGGAAGATTTTTTTAACTTTCTCTGTCGTTTAGCTTGCCATGGCTAGCATTGGTGGTGGAGTCATTTTTACTCTAATTCTGGGTGTTGTTGCTATTGTTCAACTGATTTATTATCAACCTGGTGGCCTTCCAACATTAACAACTCTTCTAGGAATAATTGATATGGGTATTATGATGGTTCTTGTTATTATTTTTCTATTCAATGTTGTCGTTATCAATACTGCTTTGGCAAATGTAGAAGTGTTACTCTTGCGTACGAAAAAGGAAGCATTCGTACAATCGACAAAACGTACAACGCTAAACAAAGATTGGAATATTGAGTACTTGAGTGCCGTGATTGAACAATTTTCTGCCGATATGAAATCTTATGCCGTAACTGTCTTTGGATTTGTCATTGATAAATCATTGGTCTTCAAAGTTGCATCAATAATGATAGGTTCCTTAGCTTCACATCTAATGTTGTTTCTTAAAAAGAAAAGTAAAATGGAATAATATCGACGAATTCTTTTCTGTTTATCTCACATTTCTGAAAGTATTTACTGTGATATTCTTACTTGTTCGATTAATCACTACATATGAAACGAAAAATAAATGTTGAACTATCTCTTCTGTAAGATTTCGTCTTCAATGGCATTGATATTGATTCAATTTTTTCGTTTTTTTTTTCAAATTTTTCTGAAAAAAATCACAATCGATTTGAGGAACATTTTTAAATAAATAGAACAACACTTAATTGCAGAATCGATGTCCGAACATTGAAAACTAACTAGTCGAACTGATAAGTGGGAGTTGCTATTTTAGCGGATGACATTGTGATGATGCAATACTCTAAAACTCACGAAATTAGCTTTTCTGAAACTATTTTTGATAGTTTTTGCTTAAATCTCCAGAAAACTGTGAGTATAAGCTTACATACTATCAGTCACTGGATTCCATTTCTTATCAACCAACTAATGTTCTCACTAGAATTAAAAAGAAGTGGATGTAAGCTGAATAATTCGATAACCGCAACAGTAAGTGACCAGTAGTTTTTGGCAATCGAAAGAGGAGATCATGGAATATGTTTTAATAATATTGTATAAGACTTTTTTCTCTACTGTGCATAAGTGGGAAAAAAAACTGAATTTTATGCACAATCCTTATTGTAACCAAAATATGAATGATTATGTGTCGCCTCTCTTAAGCTATTTGAGCGAGGCGGTATACAATAAGCAAAAGAAAGGCAATTTTGCCACGCAACAGATGCAGTATCTTGTTTTATTGGTGTGTATAGTATTATCGCGTTGACGAATGAGTGAGCGCAAGGCAAGTGTATTTTGTAAAGTTATATATAGGCAACATAATGCTTTACTCTCACGTATAGTATAATGTTGATATAACGTACGATGCAAAAGTAATGACACAAAATGTTGATCAGTATTTCACTTCGATAGAAAGGCGCTGAAAGAAAGCTTTTCTTACCAAAAGATAGCGCTTTTTCTTCTTTTTGGAATGGTATATCATTTATTTTTATACTACGTCTATAAATGACACAACATAATAGAAAATAGAGACATCCTAAAAACAAAATCTGCACTTTTTATGAAACTCAGAAAAACGGCACAAAATGCTGGCTTCTATGTTTCTTGGATAACTCTTCGATAAAGATGTGTCAAAAAGAGAGTTTTGTTACCAATTGATAGGAAGTTTTCTCCTCTTTCGAACAGTGTATGATTCATATTTAACACATGTTTATAAATGAAATGTGACTACTATAGAATGAAAGAAAAACATTCGCGCAATCAATTCATGGTTTTCAATATGAAATGGTCAACAGTATCTTGATGGACAATGATCAATTCGATTTTTTTATACTCTTTAAAAAGCTCTTCCAAAGTTTGATTACTTACTCTTTTTTGAAATTCTTAAAACCATTTTCCAGACGGCAGCTAGCTATAATTGATTATCATTTACAAGATGTTTTTTGACGAGTTCATACAAAAAATTGAAAATTCACTGTGTTGGTATTTCTCTTTCTTTCTTTCTCATCTCATTCATAAACATGTATTAAACATAAATCATACACCGTTCGAAAGAGGAGAAAATTTCCTATCAATTGGAAGCAAAACTTTCTTTTCAGCACGTATTTATCAAGGAGATACAAAGATCGACATTTTGCATCACGTTTCTACAAAAAAGTGCAGAATTCTTTTAAGAGTGTCTCTCTTTTTTATTATGTTGTTTCATTTTATAGACTTAGTATAAAAATAAATGATATATCATTCGAAAGACGAGAAAAACGCTATCTTTTGGTAAAAAGAGTTTTCTTTTAGCGTCTTTCTATCGAAGTGAAATACTGATCAACATTTTGTGCCATTTCTTTTGCATCGTACGCTATTACAGTGTCATTCGATTCGGGGTGTGGGTGTTGGTGTGCAACTTCTCTTCACTCATACCTACACCCACCCCACCCTGAAAGATTATACTTATGGCAAAAGTTTATAATTCTACACTTTTTTTAGTGTACTGTGATACTCACAGAGTACTAGACCGTAAACTAGTTACTGAGTAGACAAATCGTCATCCAAAGGGCATGATCAATTAATATGCTGTTGGACATCGATCAATTTTTTATACTTCAGTACGAGGTGCCCCTCTTTTTTTCTTACACTCACTGTTCTGGTGTTTCACTTGACGATGCTCAAATAAAAGCAATGAAAATAAACATCAGATGAAGGTCGGTGAATTCAAGCAGTTGTTAATAATCGTAGGGGTTCTTCGAATTGTTTATAAATGCATATATTGATTAGTCAAGGAAACTGATACTCTTGAATACACTTTGACTGAACAGAATTGTGATGTAGCAGTTTGAAGGACAGAATGATAGAAAAGTAGAGAAAGATGGTTGTTAAGTGATTTGTTTGCTTTAGAGGCACATATGTACATAGTAGCGTAAGCAATCGACTTCCTTCGTGTATTTTGCAAGCTTACTCCTACAACGGCATTGTTTTGTCATGCCAGTTAATAGGCTGACCATATTTAGGCCACATTATCACTATTGTCACTATTAACACAAAACTATCAAACTTAAAATATCAGCTTCACATAGCGATCTTGAACCGAGTTATTTAAATTTGAATATACCAACAATTTAGGTGTATAAGAACAACAGAACTTTCATAGCTTACCGCTTTTTATATTAATAATTTTTTTTTTGGTTTTGCTTCTTATTGTTACGCTCGAATCGCTTACGTAGGGATGTGGACAGAGAAATTTAGAATTGCAGCAAGGCAGAACCTAGAGCAGCGTCAGTACAAAGTCATTGATCTAACAGTAAGCTACAATATGACACTTTCAGAACAAGGAACACGAAAAAATAACGAAAAAGAAAAAGAAAAAACAGTAGAAAGAAAGAACAGCAAAAAAGAAGACGAAAAAATGAGAAAGAAGAGAAAAAGAAAGAAAGAGGGTCTGGATGTGGGTGTGGGTGTGGGGTGTGGGTGTCTTTTCTTAATACACACCCACACCCACATCCGCACTCAAAGATGATAAGATGAATATAGCAGTGGCCAATTACTTGGAGAGCACCGTCAGCATTCTGCTTGGTACTGAAAATGGAACATTTCACACTGAAATCAAATATGTGACTAGCACCAACCCATCATATATTGCAGTAGGTGATTTTAACAATGATAGCCGATCAGATCTAGCGGTAGCGAACAAAAATTCCAATGACTTGACAATTTTGTTGGACAAATGTAAATAATTGACGATGAAACTTTTAGTTTATTAATGTATCACCTGATTGTTGATAGTTGACTAGGAGTACCTATAATCTTAATAGAATACTGTTATTCTAACTCATTTGTAATGGTAAAATGATTACAAACTTTGATGTTCGACTCAGTGTGTATGAAATCTGTATTTTCTTTTACTGCTTTTCATTGAATTATGTATCTAAAGTTTTGTTTTGAGGCTTCAAATTCGTCAAGAAGGATGTGTTCCAACGATGATTGATTTGCTAACCATTTGAATAGGGGTTTTAGAAAATGACAAAAGAGTTTTTTTCAGAACAGTCTAAGATGAATTTTTTGTTATAATGTAGCATTTAGAAATGTTTTACTGCATGATGTCCTGCAAAACACTGTATCACACAAAGCAAAACGTCACACATGGTATAGATGACATGTGTTGGTACACTTTTTCTCCTTTCTGTTTGTTCGGCCACAAACTACATAATATTTCTGTCGAGTTTTTCTTGCTGCTGTTACTGCAACTACAAAAGATAGAAAAAGACATGCAATGAGATGGATAAGATTGTGTTGGCTAGTGGGACGATGGATCGGTACTTTTAGCTGAGCAAATGTTTCAAGAGACCTGACCAAGTTCCCAGGAGTCGGGAACTCAATGCGAATTCATTGGGAATTGGGAACTCAAACGGTGTGGGTGGGTGTGGGACGTTACTGTTACGTTCCCAGGTAACTGGTAACGGTTTGGCAACAGTCTCCCGTCCGCAGTCCCGAACTCTAGGGTCCTCAAGTCCGATTTTTGAAAAAAAAAATTTTTTTTTGTGGAAACAGACTGTTTTCGAAAAAAATTTTTTTTTTCAAGAAAATTTCAGGTGTTTTCGAAAAAAAAATTTTTTCTCGAAGTCTATTTCTGCATTAAAAAAACTTTTTTTCAAAAACACCCACACCGTTTGAGTTCCCAATTGCCAATAAGTTCCCATTGAGTTCCCGACTCCTGGGAACTTGGCCAGTGCTAATCTGATGAGAGTCAAGATTAGGCTGCATTTGAAATCCAGAAAGAAACCAATCCTTCAAAAGAAAATGACATACGATCAAAGCAAATTCAACAATGAACAAGGAGTAATATCATTTCAAAATGATATTCATGTAACTTTAAATGATGTAACTGATAAGTCGATGAACATCGATTTAAAAATAGTTATTATTTGTCGAATATTTGGAAGAAAACGTAGAGAGGGTGTGGAGGGTACCTGTGTGGGTGTATGTTGGTATGAGTGTGGATGTGGGCGCATATTTCGGTTTTCTTCTATCCCATAACCATACCCCACAGCCACACACAGGTGCCCTCCAGAACTATATTGCGGATGAGCTTGAAAGTGCATTTACACTAAATCGCACTGCATTTAAGCTCAAAATGTTTTCATTACTCTTGTCAAAAGCCAAATATTGGGTGGTCTACTGTTTGTTTCAATAATATAACATTTTATGAAATACCAAAAAGTGAGAAAAGAAACAGTGGTGTTAGCGTCCATGATGAATCACTTGGACGCTAAACGATGATTAAGATGCGCCTTCTAGTCTAACTGGCTTAGGACAACTGCCCGGATAGCAGGAGGTGTGGGTTCGATCCCCACGAAGGTCATCTTTTTCATCGTTCTGTCCCATAACATCAGTGACATTGCTTGTCCCCTTCGTT